CACGTGGTCTGTTTGTGTTCTGCAGATTCAATTTTTCTTTACAGAATTTAATTTTTTTACAGACTTTATTATGAAATAATCTGATATAAATTATTTAAAGCTTTAATGAAATAAAAATGTTTATGTTAATAAATGTTTTTTCTGTTTCTGTCAGGGTTTAGTGAATCAATAAATAATATTGTTTTGTTTGTAAACAACAGAAACAGGTGTTTGTTTTATTTATAAAAACACTTCTGACTTTAAGTCAGAAACGAAGTTTTTTTTACATGTTTTACAAAACAAGTGTAAATAACAATAATGACAGTAAACAAGACATTTTAGAAAACACAATAAATAAAACAAGACAAAAATTAGATGAACTGAATGATAAGTTATATTTTGGTTGACAGTAAACAGTCTAATAATGTTACAGAAAGTTTTATCAGTTTTACTTTGAGTTTATAAAATGTCACTAAGAAGAAGGAAATATAGTTTTTATATGATGGTAGCTTTTATGGATTTAAATTAGATAAGAATAACATTTGGCGATCAAAATACTTATTATTCGTAATTTAAAATGTATAATAATTATAATTGTTTTGTTTTTTATTTTTATGTTGATTTAAATAAAGTTGTAAACAAAAAACAGAAGTTACGTAAGCGTCCTGCAGCCTCACGTTTCCAGCACGTGCTGTTTACAAAACACAATAAAATGAAGTTTGAGAAACAAATAAAATTCATAGATCAGAATAAATCATTCTTACATGTGACACTTGAGACATTTTAAGTAAAATAATCACGTTATTTGCAGATTAAATGACATTAAATGTGTTATAACTCGTGTCTTTGGAGGAGGGGCTAAAGGGAGCAGCTGTGTTACGTCACCAGTCCAGCCAATCAGAGCGCAGATGTGGAAACGTGAGGCTGGTTTCAGGAAGTAGGTTTGTTACAGCATCAGGCGGAGCAGCTAGCTTTGTTTTTCTTTTCTTTTTCTCCTTTTCTTTTAGTTTCTCCTCGCGCTGAGGCCATGGTTCACTGCAGCTGCTGAGCGGCTCTCAGGACGGCCGGAGGGAGGATTTAAAAWCATCCAGGTGTTATTTTACAGCTCAGGTAGGTTTGTTGTGTTGAACAGAGGAAACGTGAGGCTGCCTCACTTCTTCACCAGGTTAGTCTGAGCTGGGCGGGACAGGAACCTGTAAACCCGAGCTGAGGTTCAGTTTTAATCTTTAACAAGCTGCCACCCACTCTTCAGGTTGTATTAACATTTTAAATATCCTTCAGAAATGCCTTTAACMTGTTAATGTTGTGGTGTAAAATGTGTGGTTAACACCTAACTGCTTCTCTATGAGTCGTGACGAAGAGGAGGAGGAAGAGGAGCTGAACTGGTTGAGTTCAGGATTAATAAAACCTCAAACATCAGATTAAWGAAGTCTGGTTGAGCAACAGAGACATGTTGAAGCTTTAATGTATTAAAAACTAAATGCAGGACATTGGGCTCTAAATGTTAATATTATAACTCAGTGTTGGCTGTTTTATTTTACTTTTATGTATTTTTATTTATTTGATCAGCAGCAGATCGAGCAGGTTAGGGAGTTTAAACTGTTAAGAGTTATGTTAGTAAACTTAGCAGAAATATTTCTGTAATTAAAGCTGATTTTATGTTATTTTATTGATGAAACAGTCTTTAATTATGTCATCTGAACCACTGTCCTGTTGTGTGGTCCAGCAGTGTAAAAACAGATTTAAATAAATTACAAATTGTTCAACATAAAGCTACAAAGATTGGTTGTGATTTTATGACCAGTGTTGATTTGATGCACAGTAATCTGTCATGGTTAAAGGTTGAAGAAAGACTGATTTATATCTTAATTTATGTATTGTGCAGTTTGTTTTCCCTGATGTCTGGAAGTTTGCTCAGATTATAAATCTGCTGATCCAACACAAGTTTCAAACCATCGGCCAATTTCTGTTCAAACTATTTTTTCTAAGTTACTTGAAAAAACATTATTTAATCAACTTCTTCAGCATCTAGAAGCTAATAAAATGCTAAGCACCATGGTTTCTGACTGAGCAGATTTAAAGTAACTTTCTGATTGAATTAAATGATTTAAATGAATATTTTCCAGCTTTGACCTCTACTGTGATTTGAAGAAACTTCTTCTTTTTAAACTACCTGATCCTGGACACAAACTTGATCCTAAATGTAAGTAAATTATTTCTTTATTCCTCATTTTTACCTCTAAACTCAGGCAGGAAGTCACCCATCGATGGTTTAATCTGGATTAGATAATCTAACCTGCTGATTATCTGTTCCTGCAGATCTGCTGCTGAAGCTGAAACTTCCAGGTCAGTGTCTCGTCTTAAATTCACTTCATCAAGCTTAAATTAAGGCCTTAATTAGCCTTAAAATGTCTTAAATCAACCTTTCAGACGTCTTAAAAATGTGAACACTTTGTAAACAGAATGATTGTAATTCATCTCAAATATAAAAATAGTTGGTAACATTTATTTATTTAAATATCCACATGCAGACATCACTTCCTGTTGTTTCACATGTAAATATTTCAACAACTCTTCATCTCAGCAAAGAGAAATTCCTTTTGTAAAATATAAATGTCTTTTCAACAATGCATTCAGTTTTCTTACAAACATTTAATGTCACTTTAAGGTTTCATCTACAACAAATTAAGGTTGAGGCCCCACTGTGGGTCCTAAAACTGCACATTTTGGGTCGTCAGAGGATTTCCTGAAATTAGATTAAGTTTAAAACTGACTGATGAGATGTTTCTGTTATAGTTCGTTATGAATAAAATGATTGGTTTATTAGAAATATTTGAACAATTCAACCAAAAACACTTTGATTCATGAGTTTCTGACAGTTTTTATTCTTTTGTTACTTGTGTTTGTTATGAAATAGGTCTTAAATGTAACTTCAGTTGGCATTAAAAAGTCTTAAAGTGAACTTATTTAAACTGTAGGAACCCTGGTCTCTGGTCTCTGGTCTCTTCTGGGTTCTGGGTGGTCCTCAGGGTCCGAGCCCGAGGTTCTGTCCGGTGAATAAACAAAGGTTTTGTGTATTTCAGAATAACCATGAGCGCCCACGAGTCCGAGCTGCACACCATCTCCCCGGAGCTGCCGGCCATGTTTGACGGCGTGAAGCTGGCGGCGGTGGCCACGGTTCTGTACGTCCTGGTCCGCTGCCTGAACCTGAAGAGCCCCACGGCGCCGCCAGACCTCAGCTACCAGGACACCCCGCTCACCCGCTTCCTGCTGAAGTCCTGCGGCCCGCTGACCAGAGAGTGAGTGCCGCGTCAGAAATCACTCCTGTAATCTGCTTAGAACCCTGTCAGAACCGGGTCAGACGAGGTTCTGGACCTGATGCTGTTTATGTTTCCCACAATGCAACGCTGTGATGTCATCGATGACCCTGAGAGGAGACGAGCGTCTTTAACCTGCCCTCCTTGTTTCACAGCACCGTTTATTATTTAATTCACCTTAAATAACCCTGAAGACCGGTTCTGTCACCTGATGGGTCCAGACCCGGTTCTTATTGGTCCAGATCTCAAAGGTCTCCTCTCCACCCTGGTTTTATTTTATTGTAAAGATCTGAGAGCTGTCAGGACGAATAGAAATAAAAACACAAGAAGAAAAGGTTTCTAATAATCTCTCATGAAAACACAGTTATTTATTTATTTGTTTGTTTGTTTGTTTGTTTGTTTGTTTGTTTGTTTGTTTGTTTTTATGTGTTGATTAACAGAAGAGACTCAGGTCGTCTTCCTGGACTCCATCAGTCTCTGATCTGTCGGTGCTGCTGGCAGGAGGTTAAAGTTCTTGTATAACTGCTGACTCAGCAGTGTTGTATAAAGTACCTCAGAGTGATACTTCAGTAAAAGTACAAGTATCTTATCATAAAAATACTTTGGTAAAAGTTAAAGTCTTCTCTAAAAATATTACTT